TTAATTCAAATGATATTAATTTGCTTCTATTCATTTATTCATTGCAATATAATTATAATGAGCATAATTGTCCAAAGTTATCGTTGTTTGTGGAAAAGGAAAATAAGGAAAAGGCAAAATTAGGTAAAGAAAAGGAAGAAAAATTTGGGTTAAAGACAAGGTTATCATTTTGTTATTACTATTCTGTGGTTGGCGATTTGTGTATCGATTAGCTTTTTATATATTATATTACTTTATCGAGTATAACTCCCAGTCTCTGCTTTCCTCTTGTATAATATTTTTACTTATTTGTCTGTCTTTACCTTTCACTTCATTCCTTTCCATTTGCAAGCCATGATAATGTAAACTTGAGATGAGACCTGAAGAGTGTCTTAAGATCATCAATCGATTAGATTCTGGTTCATCATGAGAATCGTGATTGTGTGATGTAAAAAAGAGAGAGAAATGATGGAAAGCATAAATAACATTCTAATCATGGGCTGTATCAGAATCAGATAATAAGCAGATAGAAATTTCAGCTTATTAACTAGAGATTAGCAGATATTTCGTTTTCCATTAATAATTTCAAAGAATATTATAAAAGAATTATTCTAAACACAGAATTTTCCAAGGAATTCTATTGAGATTTCAATCGAATTTTGTTCTCATTTAAGAATTTTTTTACTCGAAATTCTTGAGTTTTGTATAAACTGAATATCTTTATAACTAGGAAGGAAAAATTGGAAAATTATTCATTCTTTCGAAGCAATTATTTGATGAATTGAAATTCGTTCGTTGCAACGTTTAACTAACCATGAAAAGTTTATTTATCAAGTTCGATGTATTATTGAGTGAAATGTGCATTTGTTTGTCATTCGTTGAATGGAATAAAGAAGAAAAGAGAAAATTTCTTTTCGATTGAAATTAGTTTTTTTGATGAGATGAATTTTCTTTTTGCAGGTTCGAGCTTTGCTTCATGTTACTGAGTTGAGTGTTGATGAATTTGCTTTGAATTTGTATCGTTTTACGTTTCTGTTTACTTAGTGTTACTCACGAATGACTTGAAGTGAAAGAATTGCGTGTTCAATGATAAATGGTTAATTGAGTTTCATCTTTTTCTTTGAATCTCTTTTCATTACATTTCACGACTGAAAGGTAAAATTATTGAAATTTTTTCTTTTTCTCCTCATTTTCAACAAAATTTCATCTCGTTTCTAACTTGTCCTCATTTGGATTTAAATTTATGTAAATCAGAATTTAACTCTTTTCCTCTTCTTCTGTATAATTAACTTTATAACTTCAACAATATGATTGATATTAATGATGAAAAAAGGGTGAAATTGAAAACTTGCAAGTTTTGAAAGTTATTAAAATTTTGTTTCGTAAAATTTGACATTCGATAAAAAGGTTTAATCAAATTTGAATAAAACTAATGAAAATGGAAATGAAAGAAAATCAATTGTTTCATTTTTAATTGACTTTAAGATTTGATCAAATACGTCACAAGATGAACGATGATTCAGATACAATCCATGATAAATATCGAGAGGAAAAAATAATCGAAAGTTAATATAATAATTATTTTTAGTTAAATATTGACGTTAGCAGTTAGAAGGGATTTATTATATAAATAACATGAACTAATATATAAATCCACCTGACAAGGAAAGGAAAGAGATGAATTTCTTTCTGATGACCTTCAATATGAAAACATTTCTAAGCCTTGTGAAAACAGAATAAAAAACGAAAAACTTTTCGTCTGAAGAAAGAAAAATGATGAACGATCTGAATTCAGATCGATAGGATTTACGACAGGAAACCAACAGGTTTGACGTAACTTAGCGTTAGTTTTAAAACAGCTCCAACTTCAAATAATCAGAACATTTGGATTGCTGCAGCAATTAGTCCTCATCGATTATGAGCAATCCCAAAAAACATGGTTAACATTGATATCATTCCATCCCAGTTGGGAGGAAGGAATCTCGAGGCACAATATCTGTCAATCAGTTGCATGCAAAATCGTAACTTTTTAGATCGCAGCTGAAGATCAAAAAGGACGAATCGAATTTGAATTTTGTTAGGCTTTGAATTCTTCGAATTTATTTATTATTTGCTTGAAATTCTCAGAACTACATACAAAGATACTCATAGGCACTGGGAGTTTTTACTATCGATATCATAACTCCCAGTTGGGAGGGAAAATGCTAACGTAAAATTATTGCTTCGGTAAGGTTATTTGGAATCGTAACTTGTGTAGAACCAAACATCAATTCGTGAAATAAACGAAATTTGGGGCAAACTGAAAGTTTGTGAATTTTCCACCCTTTCTGTCAATTCTACATCAATTTATTTTACCATTTATACATTTATTGTGAGATAATTGTCTCATGATCTGAAAAGGTTCCGGGTGAAAGAGAATCTTTAATGTGACTATTTTTTGTATTCGATTGAATCTACGAGTAAAAGATGATTGTAGCCTCGACGGATCACGGTTTTTGCTTCTTCTTCATCATCATTATCATCAGTTGCACATTCAAATGTTACAATCGACTGAGTAAAGTTATAAATGAATTGATAGAAGAAGCCAAATTTATGGAGAAAATGATTTTTACTCTGTTTTTTCTTCTTCTTTTCACTGATCGTTTTTTGTTTTATCCAATAAAACGAACCAGTATCATGATGAATTGAACAATCAATAAATCATCTGCCCTTAGAGTAATTATAATCTTGACCATAATTCTTTTTTCCTTTGCTCTGTTTCTCTTTTCGTTTCTCCTCTTCTTGCAGCCTCATTGGATTGATCATTTTCTATCTTCTTCTTTTCAAGCTAAATCAAAATCAAATTAAATCACCTCTTTATCATTAATTATCACGGTTGACTCAATTGATTCAAGCCGTTTTCAAATCAAGTCAAGCTGGAAATGAAAAGCTTTTTGCTCTCTTTTCACCAACTTGACTCACAAAAGTTTGGAAACTTCACTTTGAAATGACAAAACTTGATTTCATTGTTACTTCCAAATCAGTTATAAATGCATGAGATTCGTTTCGATACCGATTCCAAGTAAATTTTCAACGACAACTTGAACAGTCAAAGAATAATTCAATTTAATACTTTTCCATGATAATTTAGTTATTTGTAGAATGAGCCAAAAATGAATAAAAAACTTGAAAAATGCTCAATAGGATTAGCTTGAGTTAAGAGTGAGAATGGATTCAAAAAGTTGAATTATTAAATCAAATTAATTTCCATTCTTATTTCGAGCAAAATTTTTCCAAAAAAACTCAATGACTAAATTGCTTAATTCCATTGTGAAAGATTCGATAAAGATTCCATGAAATCTGAATAATGCAATAAAACACTCAAACCTGCTATTATTTTCAGGTGCTTGGGATTGTTGACTCCAATCCCATTAATATCATTATCAGAGTTGAAGGAAAGTCAATCAATAATCAATAAAGATAACAATATTATCATTACCAGTCTTAATGATAAAAGTAAAAATAATATTCTTACAAAATCTGATATTTCTTGTTCGCTCTTTAGCCTTTCATAAGTGCTTTGAATTAGTGCTTGTAATTGTTAAAGTGAGGAAACAATTGGATGAGAAATGAAAGGAGAAAAAAAGGAAAAGGTGAAAATGTTGGTGGAAAAGAAAATCATGAAATGGAATATCTTATTCGGTCAAATGTAACCTTCTTTCCTCATGTTGACCAACTTTTATCGTTTCATGATGATGATGTTGAATGATATAAGATTAAAATGAAAATGAGATACAAAGTTGTTACATAAAATCTGATGATGAAAATGTCTGAATATTTTTCCTTCTCTTTGATGGAATTGGAAAAGAGAAGAAAATTTAAAGAGAAAAATGAAGCAAAAGAATATGAGATTTAAAGATGAAATTGGCGCCACAGCTCAAGATTCTCATGAGGCAAATGCTTATTTTTGTCTCGAATTTTTTCTTCTCTTTCATCTCTATCTTTACTGCATCAGCAGAAAAAATTTATTTTGTTTTTCATCATTTTTTTCGTTCTTTCATCGTCATTCTTTTTTTGTGCTTCTCCATGAGATTTGATATCGTTACTTGAAAGGAAAGAAAAAAAGGTAAAATTCTTGAGAAAAAGAAGAGAGAAAACAAAATGAAATGAAGAAAAATGATGAGCATGAGATGAACAGATGATGATACCAATGAGTAAAGAATGGAAGCGAGAAAAATGTATTGGAACAAAAAGTGAAATCAGGAAACATTTGGAATTTTATTTTCCTTTTACTATTGTTTTTGTTTTCGTCTTGTTCCTTCTCATGATAATTGGCTTGAAAGGTTATAAAGAATTTTTCATGAGAAAACTGAAAGAGAATCAAATGATCAAACTGATCATGATTATGAGGCGAAAGACGAAAAGACGAAAAAAAGAGTTGATATCAAGACGAAAAGTCTATCTTTTCAGATTGCAATAAAATAAGCTCTTAAAGGGAAAAGTGAAAAAAGTGAAAATCTTTTGTTTCCATTTTCATTTAAACATTTCAAAGGGAAGCCAAAAAAGGTTGAATAATGTCAACATCAAGATTAGGAAATTTAGCAAAATTAATATTCCATGTTTAAATGCTTCAATAAGCTCAACACTTCAATATCAACCTTCAACATTCCCAAGAACTCAAAGAGATTCTGAACATTTTAATTTCTTCATCAATCCATATTGAACTAAACAGAAAAGGTGATCGCATCAAAATGAGGCAAATAAAGATGTTAATAGGTAAAGAAAAAAATGAAGAAAAGAAGAAAAAAATTGATAAAAATATCTTTGCATAATAATCTGGATTCGAGAATATTGTTTCAGTTTTTTTTCTATTCGAAAACGTTCAATGTAATAAACTCGAAATGAAGCGAGAAAAAAAAGAATTTTTTTCCTTCGTTTTCACACAAAAGAGGCAAAATTTTCTCTTATCACTTTGGTTTCGCGCGATTATCATGATTATCATTTTATAATGAAAAGAAATTTAAATCGCAAATGAAACTCACCAATTACGTATAAAGTTATTTTAAGAAGAGTTGTTTCAAAATAATTGAATGCTTCACAAAGGTAAAGTCCTTCGTCTTTATAAGTAACATTATTTATTTTAAGGCTACCATTGATAGATGAAATTGATATCCGGTGATCACTTGTTGTTAAAAAGGTTTTCACAGGTAAACCTGGCGATGGAACCTGTTGGTGTGGCTTTTCATCAACTTCATGTTGAGGTTTTATCAATGAATTTCGAGAGGAAATTAACAATGAACCATCTTTCCTCCACTGAAATAAGGCATCGTAAGAGGTAAAGGTTTCAGTTGAACATGGTAATTCCAGGTGAGATCCTTTAAGAGCCACTTTATTAAGCTCACCTTGACGAGTAATTAAAGATGATCCTTCAAACGAAAACAAACCAAGAGTAAAATTAATCACAATTTTCAATAAAGAACCAATTCTTGAGAAGCGAAAAAAAGGAAAAAAAAGATTCTTTTCTTTTCCATTGAAAAGGAAAACAGTTCAACTTGGACAAACAATCAGAATCGTGGAAAAGTCCATCATGGAAAATCAAATGAATACCAAATGACACTAATTGAATAACAACATTATCATGTTTGTCTTTGTTCTGTTTTTTTGTTCGCTTCGATTTTTCATCTTTCAGCTTTGCTATTTATTATTTATCGCAATTAATTGCAATTGTCAGGGATTGTTGATGAAACTTTTACTCAGATTCGTTTCAATTATTAAATGAACTTCAATTGATTGAACCTCTTTTTTTTGTTACTTTTGCCTTTCAATTATTATTATTAATAAACCATTTTTATCCCATTATATTGCAGAATGCTGAGTAAGAACTTGAAATGTTTAGTAATGTCAAGTGTATAACTTTGATGCTCCAATTATTAGTTTGTCAATAATTAGGGTGAAAAGTATGAGCAAGGTTATAGCTAATATTGGATGAAAGGTAAAAAAGTAAAAAGTTTTTTCTTCTTCTTCTTTTTGCTCTTCATTTTCTGCTGAATCAACTGTTTATAAATTACCATTTTAGTACATTTTGTACATCATATTATTATTATATAACATGTAACATGAAAATGTTGGTAAAAATTGAATTTCATTTATCATTGAATAAATGAATTTGTATTTTGCTTTTAATTTTTTTTCCTTTTCAATATTTTCTAATTTTTCAAAATGCAAATGCTAAATGGAAAATTATTCAAGTCAATTTTTTTTCAAAATTCCAAATTCTATCGTTCAAATTTTCGTTTAGTTTTTTACAGTTGAGCTCGTTGGTATCATTCGATTTCTGATATTGAATACAGAAAATCTGTCAGATTGAATCAATTGAATATCTTTGATTCTGCAAACATTGAGATTATTTTGCATATTTAAATGATTACGTTGAACAGGATAAATAATCATGGAATAAAAGTGTAAAGAAGTTGAACGATTCTGCAGATTTGCTCAGTCAATCAAATTTGTCATGTAATGAAATTGATCAAACTGAATTTCTAGCTAATTTGGTTACTCGAGTGCAATTTTTTGCCTTTTCAATGTTCATGCTTAATCGAACTGAAAAGATGAACTTTTTCGAAAAAAAATTTTAGACTAGAAATGATGAAAAGATGTTTTAATTGAAACATTTCAACATTTTTAGATTTATATTGAAAACTATTCAAGGCGATGGGTCAACTTGCTGGAACAAGAAAAATTGTGAGAAAACTTTCACTTGGAATAAAAGTCAAGATTGAAAAGTTTGGGTTTATGAGAAAATTGATGGGAAAAGAAGCTAAGACACATGTCAACAGGTACGATAAATCATGAGTTTTGTCTTGGTAATTGATTTCATTGCTGAGTCAACTCTAGTTTCACTTTCGATATTTTTTTGGAAAATGTATTAAATCTGTTCTAAGTTGGCTCGAGTTCAAACTGGGTTTACTCTGGTTTTTTTGTATTTGATGGTTTTTCGTTGGGAAAACGTTCAGTCTCTATCAACTAAACAGGTCAAAAAGGGTTTTGATGCACTATGATTCCCTGGTGAAATTAGCTCTTTATTTACTCACGAATCTTTATCTAAACAAAAGTCATAGCCTTTTATTTGTATAAATATAAATATATTATTTTTTGTTATCATTATTGCTATTATTGTTGGAAAGTAAGAAAGCACGTAAGCTTCAACGAGATTTATGTCAACAAGAAGAGAGCAAAAAAGCAAGAGAAGAAAATGAAATAAGTAAAAGATTTAACAGATATAACATAACATTGGACCTTCTTCATATTTTCATTTTACCATGTATGTCATCCTCATTTTCTTGTGCTTTGTCATCATCTCTTATTGAACACTTTGAAAGCTATCAAGTAACGTCAATTTTGTTTTCAATTAGATTTCGAAATTTCGAAATGGAAAAACTGGAAAGATGAAAAATGATGGACTGGTGTTTATTTTGGATTAGCAAGCAATACAAATTAACAATAAAACATCAACTCATAAGACAACATTTTCTCGGTTCATTTGGAATTGAATCATGTACAGAGTTAGATTCAATTTCAACCAAAATACCAACAATTTTTGGGCAAATGCTGAACTTGCTACTTTCTTTTCATGGTAAAAATCAAGTCTAATTACTCCCTAGTGATAATGTTTCCATCATAAAATCAAGAATAACATTGGTCAAATAAAAATCTTGAACATCCAAGTCATTCCTAGTCGACTGTTTTGACGAGAAAAAAAAGTTTGATTCAACCTAAAGAAGGCTCTTCAATTACTTTACTTTTGTGCAGTAAAGTGCTAGCAATAGGATTAAATTTTAACCACTGAAAGCCTCTCATCGAGGAAACACGAAGCAAAAGATTTTTCATTTGATTTTTTTCTGATGTTTGAGTTGGTTGAATAGTGGACAAAATGATTGCTTATTTTACCTGTAAAGGCAGCTGAAGGTATCCATGGGATGAAAAACAAGACTGGAAACCATAATGTACAACAATAACTTGTATTAATGTCAATTTTCATTCCCAATTTAATCAATTGGAGCGCACAGTTTAAAAACTGTGCCTTATTGAGTGCAACACTTTTTTATCCATTTGTTGATGATTGAACAATTTAAGGAGTGATTTGTGTAAATTAAAAACATCATCCTAATATCATCTCAGCTGGAAAATTGTGGCCTTTTTGCTCTTTTTTTTCTTCTTATTTTGATTTTCTTTTTCTCTTTGAATTCACTTGATTCAGCCTTTTTTCTTTCAACCAGATATGATTCTCATGAGGTTGAATAGAAACAAAGTGAATACCAATAGTGTTGATGTAATAAAGAAATGGTGAAAAAATGAATGAATCACATTACAAAGCACATTTAGAAACACGGGAATGCACAAAAGTTGAAAGTAGCGATTTTCAGGATTGCGGCGAAAAATTGAAATCCAAATTGAATTTAGCTATTGTGTTTGTTGCTCTCACCAATAATGATGATAATGATGGAAGCAAATAATAACAAGTAATGATAATAAATGGCTGATTGATTGACTTTGATGGTAAAGATGGTTAATAGTGCCGCATGGAGGAAAGAGAAGAAAAGAGTTGAGAAGAAGAAAAAAAGTGATGAAAATGACACTGAACTGAAAATGATTATCTGATTCAATTTGCAATGGAAAAAGATGTTGATAAGGAAAACAAAAGGGAAGGAAGAAGGTAAAGAAAAAGCAAGATTATCGGGCGATAATGATGATGGTAATGATGAGGAGTGAATAAATGAAAACTGATTAATCAAAAAAGGCAGAAACTCGAATGTTGAGAGAAAGAAAAAAGCAAACAATGTTTACATTTGAGTTTGCAGGTGAGCAACAAGGAAGCACTGCAAGTGAAAACAGATTAACAATAAAGATAAACAACTGGGAATGGTAAGTGTAAAGGTGATGATAGAGATGATGATAATGATGTTGACGGTGGAAAAGATGAAATCATTGGAAAGGTAAAAATAATAAAATCTGTTTTTACACTTTCTTTACTGTTGATTCTGTGTACAAATAAAAAATAACGATAAATGTTGAGAAAAGAGAGAAACAAAGAGAGGCGAAAACATTGAAAGCAAACCCACTGGTTATCAACAGAAACCAAACTGAGTTGAAACTCTCAACATGATAACAGCAACTCTCTGGGTTTTGGTTACAGTAACCAGTGAAAACCAGTAACCATGGTTAGATGGCGCCTGGTTACTGAGCAGCATTTCTCTTCTCTTACTTTTTCCTCTCTTTTCTCATTCCTTTTACTTTTGCCTTTTTTTCTCTCTTCCAAATTGCTCACAGAAAAATGGTCTCATGAAGAGTCGAAATTCTGAGCATTTGATAACCTCGACTTGGGCGACATCTTGTTTGATATAAATTTACTCCCAGTGACGTTTCGTGTGATAACTTGATTGCTTTCCCTCTTCACTCCCTTGTCAATCACTGGGAACAATTGGGATTGCCAAGAATATCAATTTCTATTCTTTTTTTTCGAACTTTTTTCTTCTTCTTTTTAAATTCTCTTCTTTACAAACAGAGTAAATTAATCACTTTTAGTTGAAAAAGGAATTTCATGATTCATAATCTTTTTTCGTTTTTTCTCTTTCGCTTCTCAGGTAGATTGGATTACAAATGAGATAAAGTTTGATAGCGTTTCAAATAATGATAATTGTATTTGCAGATAAAGTTACTTGGAAAGGAAAACCAACTAATCATGGAAAGTAGGGAAATTAACATTGAGTTACTTTCATTTTTTGCTCATTTGCTTGGAAAAATTACTTTACTTTTTTTGTGTGGAAAAAAAAGTTAATGAGAAAATTTTGAAATCTTTTCAAATTTCAACGAAAATTTTATTACTTTTTTCAAAAACCTGATCACTTTGGGTAATCAGATCAACTTGTAATCGAGTCTTTGCTTCCATGAGATTAAAAGCAATACTTGAGTTACTGATTGGATCGTTGAGTTGGAAATCGAAATTTCATTTTTGTTCTCTTCTTTTGGTGTAAAGCCAATGTATTTGTGAAAAGATACTTTGTTGACTCGTCATCATGATCTAAACAGGTGAAGATTTAGCAACCTTTGGATAATTGTTATTAATAAATTTTCATTTAGTTTCCTATTAATTTTTATTGCTTCTGTATCAGCAAAATGATGATAAAACTTGACTAGTGAGAAAAAAAGTTAAAGAGGTTCAAAGTTCTTTATCGTAATCAGTAATTCAACAGATCGTACGATTTTCACTCTTAATCTTTCGATGTGTAAATTCAATTCTCGAGTTATGCAATTGAAGCTCATTCAACTTGGAAAGGATGAAAAGTTTTGATGGATAACTTTTGTTAAGAAAAGTTGAAAAATTTGAAAAGCAAAAACATGACAAAAGTTTACATCAAGATTAAGTTATCATTGGAATGTATCATGAGAAGAGGGAAAAAATTGTTGAAAAGAAAAGAAGTTTTTACCGGGAAAAGCTCATCAAATCAGCAAATACAATTAGTTGATCTTTTTGACGTGAAAAGTAATGATGTTCATGATAAGGTTTTAGAATGAAATGAAGAAGAAAAAGAAAAATGAAAGTCAGATTAAGTTTTGACAAAAGCTGATCAGTTGAGAGAGTAGAATGAAAAGAAGAGCAAATTGAGAGTCGACATCATCATTTTCCCCATGTTTCTCATGGAATCATGGAAAAGGAGAAACTCTTTCTCTCTCTTTTCTAACTAAATACTCGTTTTCATGATAAGATAAAACTTGTTAAGTTGATTAAGCAAATTGAATAATCGAGTTACAATAATAATGGTTATAATAGGTTGAACACGCACATTGAACGTTGTCACTTTTGCAACTTCATTTTCCATTCTTTATCAATTGAGAGTCAATTCACCTGCAAAGACAAAATTCAACTTCTCGGTATTCATTAGATAGAAATGAGTAGAAGCTAGAGAATTGAAATTTACTGCAAATCGTGAAAACTCTACTTTTCTCATTTTCATGAATTTAAATTGTCTTCTTCTCATTTCTGGAAAGTGATTAAAAGGATTAAAAATTGAGAAAAAAATAAACTCGAGTTTTCTTCAGCAAAGTTCATCTTTAATGTGCAATCAAACATTTTTGTCGGATTATTTACATCTTCAAGTTTCACTTTAGAGAAAAAAAATTAATCTTTTCAAGAAAAGTTTCAAGTGTCAAGTTTTGAGAAACTTATTCTTCGATTCGCTTTCAAGTTTCATTTTTTAATGTTCGTCTTGGTACCATTATTGGTATCAACTGCAACCCTTTCAAGATGAACTTTACACCCATTTTCGCACTGCAAATGCTCATCCATGTGCTCATTAAGGTTCCTTTCAAGTTAACGTTTAAATTCAAATCTCACCTGAAAAACAACTTAACATTACGACAGTTTCATTCTCAGGAATATCATCAAACATCTCAAGATTATCTACTCAATGAAGTACAGGTAAGAATCGAGGTTTAAAACGACCAAAAAGGGCCAATCGAGGTTGAGAGTAAACAGGAAAAAAATGTTTTCGAGTTAACAAGCATTCTATTTTCATTCCATCATTAGTCGAGATTCATTGCTCCACCAATGGAATTTTTTGTTTGCTTTTTTTATCGAATCATTTGCGGACAATTCCGCGTCTCTCTCTTTTCATGATAAAAAAGATGATCACCTTTTGACTGATATCTCAACATTTCCAGTAATATTTTGTCATCGTTATCAAGCAACACTCGACAAGCTTGTTTCCTTCAAAAGCCTCAGCAACATCATCAATGCTCATTATCAATCAATCAAAAAAAAGACAAAGAAGAAAAGAAGAAAAAATGATGCAAAAAATTGCAAATTGACAAGCAACAACAAACACCAAAGATGATGTTTATTCATGATAAAAAAAAGAGTTTCGCAAGGTTGATGAAAAAAATGTACTTTCAGAATGAGATAATAATGGCAAATGATTGTTGCAGTTGGCTTTCAATATCATTATTGGGTCCATTATTTGGTTCAAAATTTTCAAAAAATTCAACCTTTTCCATTTCTTTTCAGTTGACTTTACTCAAATATCTTCCACTGCGAACCATCTCAAGAGTTTGGGGTTTAATGACATCTCTCTACTTACCAATTTGCCTTCGTTCCTCCGTGTTGGGCAGTTACAGTCGACTTTTTGACTGTCAATTGAAGGAAGCAGAGATTGACGATTATCGTCTATACCCAAGTTTAAAGCAATTTTTTACTCGCTCATTGAAACCTGGTTTAAGACCGATTGCTCCAGGAGATAATCTTGTAAGTATTACATAAGCAAAAATGAAAGCAAAAAATTATCAAATGAAACAGAAAAAGATCGAGATAAAAATTGATAATTTTTCTGGTTTTTTGATTACAAGAAAATTATCATTAAAAATGTTGCTCAATTTAGTCAGTTATTGTTACATTTTCAATTATAAATTGAGTGAACATTTAAAATGTCTGTTTCTAGTATTGAGTGTTGAATGGTGTTTTTGTTTTACTTTTAGGTTAGTCCAGTTGATGGAACAGTGTTGCACTTTGGTCGAGTCACTGAGGGCAACATTGAACAAATCAAGGGAGTTTACTTTACTGTTAGGTCATTCTTGGGACCTCAAAGTTGGCCTTCATTTGATTCCATTTATAATGCGCTTGGATCTCTTTGGACTTCTAGTGATAAATTTAATAATCAGAAAATCTGTGATTACGATGAATCTTTGATCAATTATACTCGGCGGTTAAAGGTCAATCCAGACAATTGCCTTTACAATTGTGTCATTTACCTTGCTCCAGGAGACTATCATCGATTCCATAGTCCAGCTGAATGGAAGGTTCATTTCAGGAGACATTTTCCAGGTAAAAGATGATTTTATTTTTTCATTAATTCTTTTTGTTTCCTTTCAATTTATTGAACAACTTGTGAGAAGTAAAATTGTCAAAGAAAAGATGAAGTAGTAACTTTCAGCTGATTTTTCATCTTCTCTTGTCTACATCTGAACAAGAGATTTACCTGATAACCAACTCATTGCAACTCAAGTGGTTGAACCAATGAAGTAATTAGATTAATTTGATTATGTTCAAGACTAAAGTCAAATGTTGGTTGAATATTGTTGTTGGACAAGTGGAGAGTTTGATAAAATATTTAAAATACACTTTTATCATCATTCAATGAACAAGTGATGAACCTTTCAAAGGTTAATGTGAAAGAAAATTTTGAAACTTTTCTCTTACCTTTCATCCAATCTTTCCTTTATCCATACACTTCTCTCAATAGACTCATTTTCAATTTCAAAGTTTATCTAATAACAGCAACAATCAAGTCAAACAAAACAGACAAAAGTTTGAAACAAAGTCAACCCAAGCAGACAATCAGTTTTGCTTCTCTTGCACTTTGTTCAAGTAACACTAAATTGTGACTGAAACTCACATGTAACACAAGAGATCAAGATTGCCTGTCTCATCTCTTGTGTTTCAAAGGACTCACAATACTCAAGAGATCCATTGAAAGGATTCTCCAATTTTCAAGTACAATTTGTATTTACATTTCCAAGCAAAGAATGGCAAAAAATTTCGATCAAAGTGACAAGTTGAAAACGTGCAAGCGTAACCACATTCCGAACCAGTTTTCGTGCCAACCTTTTTTGTCCTTTGATTGCGATGCAAAAGATTTTTATAACAAAATAGCAATTTTCTTAATCTTCATTTTCTAGAGTGAAATTTACTGCAAAATGTCCGTAAATGTGGAGCAAAGGACAAGAGTGAAGAAGGGGAAAATTGCGCAGTTTTCACTGAAACCTAGGAATCCATTGAATTATGGTTGCTCATTTTGTGTTTGAAATTTTTACTCATTAGTTTCTCATACATTCCCTGTCAAGCTACAACAAAGAGAAATGCCATTATTTGTGCGATTCCAAGAGTTAAAAAGCATTTCACTTTTGGCATTAAATGGATCCCAATTGAGTCGTTATGACGTTACCTTGAACAGTTTACATTATTGCAATTATCACAAATCGGTTTGACATGAAGCACACATTTCATCTCTTGCCAACTAACATCATGATTAACACAGCATTGTACAATTGACACAAAACAATGCTCAAGATTGCTCAAGGAATTTAAGCTTTAAACCAATTTTTTGGCTTTCCTTTTCGATTCTTTTCATTTCACCAAATGATTCTCAATTTTAGTAAACTTTTGTTGCTTTTCCTCATCAACGAAACGAGATCGAAAAAATCATTTCTGCCTTTTTTTGTTCTTCCATGAATTATTCTGATGCTGAGAATTGGAAAAGTAGAGAACAAAAAAATCACATTGAGACAAAAGCAATTGTATTAAATAAATGTAAACACGTTTTCGTGCTCAACTTTTATTTTGCGCTTTTCTTTTCTCAGCTTTTTCTATTCTCATGTGTGCTGTTTATTTGCTCATGTGAAACATTTTATATTCTTGTTTACAGAATTCATTTCATTTTCTTGCAACTTTTTTTCTTCTTCTTTTTCGTATAATAATAAACTAAACTAGTTCAACTCTTTTTCATCTTTATCTTCATCATCTTATTCACTTGTTTACTATTTACAACTTGTCAGATTATGACAATCACAGGGAATGAAAGAAACTCAGTTTATCCAACAGCTATTATAAGAGTGAAACAAACGACAACAACAATATCAATAACAACAGAATTGGGTTGAAACTGTTGACAGGTTATTTCAACTCGCTATTTTTTATTCTCTTTTTTCCCTCATTTTCACTCTTGAACTTTATTCACTCCCTGTGATGAGCAAAAAAAGTTGATTCCCAAATGAATGTCAAAGAAAAATTATTTCAACAAACACAAATTTTAACTTTTCCATGAATTATCACAATTATGACAACAATGGTAAACAAAATGAACAGCAACTCAATACAGAAAAAACGTTGAAACGAAAATGGAAAATAATTCATCTCAAACTTTAGCTTTTGTAAAACTTGCAACGAAAGCGAAACAAAACTTTTTTCTCAACATGAAAAGATTTGCTTTTCTGAAGTCACATTTTTCTCAAACAAATTTCCATTGAATTTATGAGAATTTTTATCGAATAATTTCATCGAATTTGTTCTTTGTGGCTTTTATTGCGTTCATTGAGCTACTTTTTCAATCTTTTTCCATTTTCTTTGCAAAGTTGAGGTAAACTGATAGTTAAAGCTTAAACGTTGAGCTTTTACTCAACTTGTCTTGGGAATGAAATAAGAAAAATTTTCTCTTTGCTTCTAATCTTATTTCACTGGATTGAAAGTCACGTTGTTTATTTAATAAAAACACAGATTCTGAGTTTCATCAATTTTCTCACCTTATTAAATAGTCATTTTGGGTTAATATGAATTCTCGGCTTGCTGAGTTACAGGAATGGTAAAGTAAAGATAGAAATATATTTATATAAATAAGAATAAAAACTAATAGCAATAATAATAAGAGTATATAAGAGGTAATAAGGTATAAGGTTGGTAATAAAGAGGTGAGAAAAGATTGAGATGAGAAGAAGGAAAAAAAAGAAATGAAAAGGATGAGGAAAAAGCATGTGCATGTGATGAAGAGAAAATGCAGGAAGAATTGAATGAAGAAGAAAAAAATCCAGATAATCCTTTATCAAACCTAATTCACCATTCTCGGTGCATTCTGATTGTAGTTTATTGAACAAGTTGCTCAACTTGAAGTTTCAATGAACACAAGTTTTGACAAGCTTTTTTTTCGCTTTTCACAATTTCTCTCCATTCCAGTGGAAGAAAAAATTCAATTGTACTTTTCATTTTTCCCTTTAATCCGACAAAATTTTACTTCTCGTTGGCTAAATGCTGCAATTTAATTATCCTCTTCAAGTGAATAAATTTGTCATCAGATTATGTTCAACATTTCAACATCCAAATGACAATTGAAGAAACTCTGAGTATCCAAATTTTAATCCAAAAGATTAGAGTTTTTTGATTCATTCTTATCTTAGAAATGATTGTTCAGTTGAAACTCGAACCGTTTACTTCATCTTATTACTTTCCGTTTATGTCAGTAATGCAACCAATGAATAGAGTCACTTTCTCATGATTACTTCATGAGTTAATCTCAAGAATGATTTTTTTCTAATTTTTCAATTCCAACTCTGAATGGCTGAATGGAAAAGAGAAAATTCAATTTTGACAATTTTCTCCATTTGCCATTCATGGGAATACATTGGAATATTTTTCCATCAATTAACACATTTTTTACGGTTCCATTGATTATTGAAATGTAAAATATTGCAGAGTTTTCCAGGAATGGACTGGAAAAAATTGGTCACTTTTTGTCAAAATTTGGAGAAAAATATTGAGTGAAAGTTGAAACATCTTTTTCTATTTTCATTTTTCTCAAGATTCTTGCAAGCTTGCAAAGAATATGCAAAAAGTTCTGGACAATATTGATTGACTTAGAAAGGAAAGATTGTCAAAGCGGGCAAAAAATGTTGAAATTTTGAGTTGAGTGATGAGCAAAGGACGAGTTTTGCAAGTTGAATGGTTTGAATTGATTTACCATTTACGACAAGTTGGACTATAAAATGGAGTTGAAAAAATCGAAACTTTGAAATTCATTTTTCCATTGAGTAGAGGGAAAACTTTACTCAAACACTTTTCTCACTTGATTGCTAAACATTATAAAGTAAACTTGGATTGTGTTTTTAACGACATTAGATTAAGCTTAAAAGTGGATAAAAAAAGTTGACAAAATATGAAGACTTGATGGAGTTTCAATAGAGAGTTTTATATTGCAAATTTATCGATTTATCATGCTGGTCAAATGGACCTAGTAAAGGTTGCCATCTTGTTTGGTCATAAAACGAGTACAGAATTAGAAGGAGAGAAAAATGCAAAAAAGAAAATTTCAATTGATAAACAGTCCATTTCACAGTTTACCTGAATAGTTTACTTGAATGGAAAGTTGAGGAACCATTTGAGTATGTAGTTGATGGTATCATTGAAAGTTTCAAGCGGACAACTTTTCTAATGACTTTTCTTGATTCTCACTTGCATATCTTTACCATCTAAACCATTTATCCATGTAAATAACTTTTCACCTTTTTCTTTTCAGGACACCTTCTCAGTGTTCATCCTTCCTTTGTAGGCAGAGTCAAGGGTTTGTTTACCATCAATGAACGAGTCGCCTACTTGGGCCACTGGAACCATGGATTCATGTCAATGACTGCCGTTGGTGCAACCAATGTAGGCTCAGTGTCTACTTACTTTGATCCGGTGAGTTGATGTTGTTTGGGTTGACTTGAAGTCAATGGAAGAGACTTGACAAGAGCTTTGAGTAAACAAATTTATTCAACTTGAAGCAACTTTATTCACGTTTATTCAATCAAACCATTCATTGCTATTCAATGGTGAGATTGAAAAATTTAAATTTCTCTGTTCAATGTTTTCCTAATCAGAAAAGTTCTCTTTTAATTTACTCTGACGAGTTGAAGGTTTGCAAAAATTTTGAGTTTTTTTTTCTTTCTCCTTTTTACTTCATTTTTCATATTTCTTGATTAACAATTTTGATTCGTTTTAATGTCAGTTTTATTATATTTTGGAATCAAGTTTAATTAGCTTTACTGCTCTATTTAGGCTCATGTTTCATGGCTTATTACCAGGCAGTCAATTCATGGGACAAAATTTGTTTGCCTTTCATGTTTGCTCATTAAGGTAATCAAAATGATGATTCATCTGACAAAATGAAACTCTTTTGATCTCTAAATAATTTCACTAATCAGGCAGACCATTATGATGGTAATGAAATGATGAAAATGTGATCTCAATTGGAATTGGAATTGATAGGAAGAGTAAAAAAATTGCGTTTAATCAAGTTTCCCTTTGAATTTGGTTTTGAAAAATTGCACTTTTTTTCGTCTCCATTTCATGCAATGAAAAGTGTGTTTAATCAAATTTGATATCCAAATGGCTAATTGAAGCGAAAATAATTTGCTTGAAATGAAAAGTCAACAAAAGAAGTACACTTCAAAGTAAATTCCAATCCTGATTAACCCGGATTCAATCTTCATTAACTAGATCATGATGGTAATGAAATATAATTTAAACATTTTTTTCTCTTCAATAACAATGAGAAAAGGGCAAAACTGAACTGATAAACAATCCATTAATTATCAATGGATCATGAATCAAGTTGAATAGTTGGCACAAAAAGTACAATTAGTTGCAACAATTTAATGATGAGCCTTTTGTCTTTAGCCTGTCCAGAGGGAAACAAAACTTTATTTTAATCATCTAGAATTGAATGAACATTTTAATGAAAAAAAAACTTTCATTTCTTGCAGAATTTGAAAACCAATAGATTCAACTGGCGAAGGAAACCTTACAATGATCACGTCTTTGGTGGACCCATAGGCTTTGACAAAGGTGATGCGTTTGGTGAATTCAATTTAGGTTCAACAATTGTGCTTCTCTTCGAGGCTCCACGCAACTGGCGATTCACTGTTCAACCCGGAGACAAGATTAAATACGGTCAACTATTGTTTAAGCAAAAGTCTAATCAAGCCAAGTGTTGAACATTTGGCACATCAACACCTTGGCCCATTGGCACGTAAACTTGAAGTAAACTTTCAAGAGTTTGTTGTACACTGTTTGACAGTAATTTTTTGTACTAATTATTGACCATTTTGCAATTAAAAGTGATTTTTATCCAAGCAGAGTTGATGATCAAAGTTGACAATGATTGTTTCAAAGTGCACGAATTAGCAAATGCAAATTTTTTTCTGACTTACTCTGTTCACAATACATTAAGTTTAGCAAGTTTAATAATTGTTTCATTACAAATGAAAATTGGCCATTTTAATTGTATTCACAGGAAAAGTGATCAAAGCTTTTATACTGTTTATCTTTTGTTTCATGTCAAGCTTTTTTTTCATCCAGTCACTCTCATGTTGGCCTTTTTGCTTCTTCAACAATTCAATCCACAGTCAGATGCAATTTCAATCTCATTAATTACTCACCAATCACAAAACTCATGGTATAACTGAAAATTATGAAAAGTCCGAGGCAAGTAAAAGGTTCATCTCATTACAAGTCCTGAGTAAACTTGATAAGAGTTCCCTTGATGTACATGGCAACATTAACATGAACCAAATGGAAACCCAATCTGGATACCTTTTTGCTTCTTTACTCATTTTTGTGTTATTATACTTTCAACAAATTATCATTACTCTTTGTTAATTTGCTTGTTAACTTTTGTTTCAACTTTTTTTTCCTTCTTCACTTGCCTTTCAACTCTTTGTGAATCTCCTTCAACTCGACTGTTCAAAGGTTCACTAATGAATAATTAAAAGTTTAATTAACAATCATTTTTGACACGACAAAACAATGGTCAGAAAGTTTACCAAGATCAACTTTTTTCACTCGCTTCCTCATCTGTAAGCCTTTCAGGGCAAAATTGTTTAACCATTAATTATTTAAACAAATTTCCACATGAACTCATCAAGATTATTACTTTCGACTTGAAAAACTTTTCTACTTTTCAAATTCAATTGAAACCAGAGTTTTTTTCGCTCGACATTTTCACCCAAAATTCAATCATTATTATCGACTGGCAAGAGAAGGCAACTTTGAAACATGAATTTGCAATAATAATGATTGTGATATATTAGATAATAAGATAATGCGGTATAATAGATTCAATAGCTAAGTGGTTTAAAATCGAGAATTTGAAAAATGCTTTTTTCTCCACTTTTCTCGCTTTATATTTTCCCATTTAAAAGTCCATTTCCGATTTAAAGTGAAGGAGAAAAGTCATTCTTTGCAATCCATTGTCACTAAACAGCAACAGAAACTGCAAAATGATATTTACCACTAAATCCCTCTCTTATTTTCCTCAGTCTTCAGCATCATCATCTTTATTTATTATTATTATTGTTATTATTTTGCAGTTTTCGTTCTCAAAGCTTTATCGTTTACCTTATTGTATTTTATCTCAATTTGATACTTTGCTTTCAAATTCTCACAAGAAAGTATAGCAACGAAAAAATACAAATCAAAATCGATATTACATTTGAGGGTTTATAAGACTCCTTTGAATAAATGGTTCAAGGGAAGAACCCAAGAAATCTCAAATAATCTAAATCGACACAAGTCGAGTTATGACAAAAAGGGTAATTAAAGAAGTCTGTAGAGTTGTGCATCAACCGATACTTGTTGACTATGTCTTGACAATGGCTAGTAGTGTTGAAATGACCGTGACAAGATATGATATGATATAGCAAATTTTGAGCAATGATTCAGTTTCACTTTTGGATTTACAAGTTGTCTAAAGTTTGATCAAAATGTATTGGTCAGTGAACCTGTACAAGAAGTAAATCCTGCTTCCAATAACTTCACTCTGAACCAGTCTGAGAAGAGCTTGAATATGTACAGAATGTATAAAATGAATCATGAATTACAGGTGAACTGCTCTAGACTTACAAGTAATTAAGCTCAATCAATAAGGCAATACAAGACAAATTGCTTGGCTATGCTCATGTATGGATAAAGGATGGATTGGAGTAAAAAAGTAAAGTTACAAGTTATATCAAGATTTTTGCATCGACATTTTACTTATCATCTTTAATCTCAATCTGGATCAGAACATTTTTGTAACTTATGAGGGTAAATTTTTTTATATCACAAACTTAATACCAGTTGATATGTTATTAGTTATCGAAATAACGATGAACATAATGATGATGAGAAATGTTATCCTAATAGAATGTAATTTGATAGAAACAAGTCTTTGCAATAATTGCACAAATTGAATCACATTCATGTTGACTGGCTTCAATTTAGTAATGAATTGAAATATAATGAGACAGTTTCTGCATTAACCAAATACGAAGCAATAGAAAGAAGAAAAAGTCGAAAATTAATTGAAAAAATAGAGATGGACTATTCGAGTAACATTATGGTTAAACTTTTTTGCTACAAAATTACAGGTTTACTCGTAAACAGTAATCACTGGGTTACCTTCAAAACCCAAAGTCAACTCCCAGTAATTTGGTTATCCAAATGGTGCAATTTGAATGCCAGCCCATATCGTTTAGTTTATGGTTGCAAATTATTATACACCATTAGTCAGCTTAGTTCAACTTACAGATTACCTGCAAATTGAAATTCCCTGAAATTCAATTGCTTAAATGCAGATAGCAACGACAAATTTCACGGAAATTCGCACAATTTTCTCAGCCAGCATTTTCCAAAATATTTGCATCATTAGATCAAAGTCTGGACAAATACTAAACAAAACTAAAATACAACTTTTGAAAGTAACAAGGTTCGAGAATTATTCACAAGTTATTTTACATTTACTGAATAACGTGACCTCATATTGACCTTTGGAGGTAATTTTCTGAGATAACAAAATTTTTGCCATCGGTACATGTTATTCACATGTTCATAACTCTAAGCATTGGAAAGATAACCGAATTTTTCTCAAGATCACTTGAAAAACTCGAAATGCTTAAGTGATACAGAAACCGAAGTCTTTAAATCTTTCGTCTTTGCCGATTTCCTGTGCCAAAAGCGTATGTTTCTTACTGCTAAAAAGTCCCCAGTTAATCTGAAATTCATTCAAATGTCTGGCTTGCGCTCTTGGAAGCTTGAAAGTATAAGCAATTAATAAACGTCTTTTACAAATCAGCAGAAATTGGTCGAAATTTCACACAAAAAAGTAATCGCAATTGCTGAACGTAATAGCAAATCAAGAATGAAAATAATGACATTTGCTTGAATGAATAACATTTTTTGATGAATTGGAGAAAAAATTGCTTCATTTTCTTTTTCTTTGTCTCAATTCTGTATGAACATTCTGAGGTTTACAATTTTTCCTGATTCTTGCTGCTCCTTTCTCCTTTGATTGGTTAACATAAATAAAAATAAATAATATTATTAATATAATAATGATAATATATTGGGCAAACCAAGAAAAAATATCATTTCCTTTGATTCATTATTTATCATCTTGATGGTAATGAGTCACGAATATTGAGACCGATAATGATGATGATGAAAATGGTGCTCAATAATAATAGCAATGTTAACAATAATAATGAGAATGATGATGATTACGATGATTATAATGCTTGGAATGATGCTTATAATGGTTAATAAGAATGTAATGGTTAAGACTGGAACCAATGAGAAATATTGTCTTGGAAGACAATCCGTTGAGGCAATTGGCTATTTACTGAGATTCAGTCAAAACTGTTGCCTTAATCAATACAATCAACCTTAATCAGGGAAAGAATAAGAGATTCATGTTAATCATAATTTACTTATGCAAATAATAATTCTACATGTAATAATAATATTAGTCAAATTTGTGCTCAAAAGTAAATATTGTGCTCAATACACTATCATTATCATCATCATCATGTGTAAGCATAAACTATTATAGACTGTATTTAGTATTATATCAACATTATCTGTTTTGGATTCTCATTTCTTCTTCTTCTTCTTCTTCTCTGTTCATGATTCCTCATGATTAATCGTGGTTGTACAATATTTAGATTATATTATCATTTAGAAATCATTTTTATTCCCAATGAGTTGAAATATAATAATGAATATATTTCATCAACTTTCTCTTGCTTTCACCTTTCATTCATTATTTTTATAACCATAAAAATGGGTTGACTTTTGAGAAGATCAAATGATGATAATCATTATTATGTTATAATGATAATGAAAGGGTAAAAGAATAAAAATCTTAACTTATCATTTAAGTGGTTCCTTTGTTAGTTTATATCACTTTTATTATCTCAATATTTGGTTAAAAGGAAAAATATAAATTGACTTCAATTGACTATTCATGGTAATAATTCAAAACTTTCATAATATGCTTTCATAAAGTTTAGGATAAAGAGCTTACAATACTGAATTGAATACAATAAAATTAGGAAAAAATTGCTCAAGAAAAATGTTTCATTACAATTTTTGGCAGATTTTTAAATGGTCCTAGAAATGTAATCAATTCAGCTAAATGATTGAATTAAGTCAAAATTAACCCAATCAACTTGACTTCAACAGACATCAAGAATGGTTTGTAATACTTTTAAGTCTTGAGACTGAACGCCTCTAAGTCAGAATCCCGTCATTATACAGTAACGATAATGTTAAGTACTCAGTGTGGCCATAGATAAAAGTATGTTTCCGACTGGAATATCGCTCAAAGTCACAATCAAATCCGATCAACCGATCTGTTAATTAAAAAAGCTGTTACTCTGTTGATTTGTCAAAACGGTGTTCAAAGGAGAGTAAACAGAGCCATCTATCGTTAGAAGTTGCTTCAACTAACTTAACAAAATTACGATCTGCTTACTGTTAGATAACAGTTATGAATTTCGGACTAAATCGGTTCATGCCATTGAGTTTAATCACAGAAGATACAATATTATCGTTAATTACCAAAGAATAGATTTACAGTTTTCTAGATATTGATAACTTTATTTGCAACTCTCATGTTGCGATCAATCTAACCTGCTCGGAAAAAGTTTGGTACAAATTATGTTTTATTGATTGTTCAATTAGTAGTTCGGAATAATTACACATTCTTTATATCATTCAAAAGCTTAGGATCAGCACTTTTCTCTCAAGAAACTTAATCCAAATTTCAAGCCTCTAGGGCTCATGGTTCCTGAGAAAAAAGGATTATTTCAATTTGTACCAAACTTTTTCCGAGCAGGTTATTAATGATGCGATCGAAACATGGTTTTGTCCATGATTTCTTGGTTTCTTAAATTTCTAAATTCTTATAATCTTTTTTTTTGTCATGGTTTCTAGAAGTTTTCTGTGTTTTTGAAGCGTTTCTCTAAGAGGATCAATTTATTAATACAAATGAGTTTTGAGTTGTTCTGGTTTTCAAAATGAATTTGGCTCCATTTGATGTTTCCTTGGAGAGACGCTAGATGGAACAGGGTAAGTTTGAGATGTCAGAGAGCAACACGCCTTCAAAATAATTCACTGTTTTCATTGCTTGTCCTTTAAAAATTTAGAGTCTGTAATCGTACTTATTAAGTAATCACAGAGTTATCACTTTTATTGATTTAGTTTTAATTTAATTTGTTGTTTTAGTGGAATAATTAATTGTTAAAGATGCCAAGTGATGATCCAACGTTAGCGGTCGATATAAGTGATGCCTTGTCTGAAAAAGAAAAGGTCAAGTTTACCGTTCACACAAAGGTAACGTAATCTTGTAGCAATTGATTATCTATCATATTTTTACTGTTCATCATCAATCAATTAATCAATCAAGTCATTTGTTTGAATCTTCTCTTATCTCTGTTGAACCCTAGACCAACTTGCCTGGTTTTGACAAGCCAGAATTTTCTGTTGTTCGTCTCCATGAAGAATTTATCTGGTTGCATGATACATTAGCTCAAGATGATGAATATTGTGGATTCATTGTAAGTAACCGATTATTCTTTTTCTTTCTTTGTTGCTTTCTATTCTAATAAATGTTTTTTTTCATTTTACTGTGCAATAAATATATAGATACCTCCACCACCACCTCGTCCGGACTTTGATGCTTCTAGAGAAAAGCTTCAAAAACTTGGAGAGGGTGAAGGAACCATGACAAAAGAAGAATTTAATAAAACTAAACAAGAATTGGAAGCTGAGTATTTAGCTACATTTAAAAAAACAGTTGCCATGCATGAAGTATTTCTTCAACGACTGGCTGCTCATCCGAAGTTTAAGAATGACGTTAATTTCCGAATTTTTCTTGGTTATAATGACGATGTAAGTTGACAGCTCTTGATGGATAACTCTTAATGTTGCAGTTCAATGTGATTCAATTTTTTTGCCACTTTCCATCTTAATAATATTTATATCTTTCATTTTTTTTTATATCCCTTTCAAGATTGATAAGTTGTTAACAATTATTATTTCTGTTTTTTCCCTCTTTTTCACAGTTAAGTGTTCGTGGTAAAAATAAGAAGGAAAAACTTGTAGATTTACTTTCAAAGTATGGCAAATCCGCAGACGATTTGGTTTTGAGCAATACTCAGAAAGATATTGACGAATTTTTTGAACATCAAAAAGTATTTTTGATAGAGTACCACAAACACATTAAAGATTGCACCAGTAGAGCTGATAAAATGACTAGATCTCATAAAAGTAAGTTTACTTGCCTTCTGAAAATTGGTCTTGTTTTTTCTATTTTTTCATGTACCCAATGTTGCACCATGAATCAGTCATTTCAACTTTTCAATCATTTCTGTATTGTATCAAAGAAAAAGTAGATTGCCTTGTTTTTTGAAAGATTATTGGTGATTAATTGAGTAAACTAATCAGTTTGTTTCTCTTTTCCACCCCAATTACCACCTCTTATGAATGTTGTTTACCACTTTTACTTGACAACTTCAACTCAGTCAACTTGAATTAATCTACTTTTCATCTTGAACTTATGCTGTTTTTGACAAACATCCTAAATCCATCTTAAGTAATTGTTTATAATTCCAAATCATCGGTTCTCAGTCTCCAATTGTCAAATCTTCCTCTACGAGTTTCAAGCTTTATTTATTTGCTTTACCATTTCACATGTAGGATTTATCTTGGAGGCGTTTTCTTCTTTTTCTTTCTTTGAACAGAATATTTTTCACTTATCTACAAAATGTAACTCAAATATTGAGATCAATACAATGACTGTTGATAAAATTGTATATTTTGCTATTTTCACATTGCTGTAACTTATTGCTGTTATCTCATTAACCTTTTTCATCTCTTTTACTTGCAGATGTGGCTAGTAGTTATAGTCGAATCGGTAGTGATTTAATTGGCCTTTCAACAGTAGATTCTAACAAATTGGAAAGATATTACGCTAAAAATGCAGACTGTTTTGAAAAGGCAAGAAAATCTGAGGAGCGGATTGCCTCTGATGAAGATCTTAAACTTTCAGATACATTAAGATACTGGATGAGGGAAACTGCAGCAGCAAAGGTATAAAAAATTCTTAATATTGTTTCGGTTTAATTACTTTTTAAAGGGAAAAATTTACTATTTTTAACATTTTTCTTTTCATTTTTTGTAGGACTTATTATATCGTAGATTACGATCCCTTGCTAATTATGAATCAGCTAATAAAAATCTTGATAAAGCTCGCTTGAGGAATCGAGATGTTGCTCTGGCAGAAGATGCGCAACAAAAAGCTGGCGAAAAGTTTGAATCTATATCTAAACTTGCAAAACAAGGTGACTAATTGTGCTTTAATTTAACCACAAGTTTCATCAATAATTACTCATGCAATTTTTGTCTTCTTTTCACAGAATTACAAGATTTCAATTCCCGTCGTATTCTATTCTTCAGGAAAAATTTTGTTGATTTAGTCGAATTGGAATTAAAGCATGCAAAGGTAAGCTTTCCATTTGCTTTTATTGTTAACAAATTTTAATAATTTCATTTCTTCTTTTTTCAGGCTCAAGTTCAACTTTACAAAAATTGTATCGCCTCATTAAAAGAAGAGCTACTCGACTAGAACTGGTTAAAAGTTTAATTGGTCAATATCTAGATATATCGTTGTTACCGAATGTTTAAAGACATAATCAACTCAAACTCCAATAGGCACCAATCATCCAAAGTGTTGCTTTAAGCCAACGATGTAACTTCACCAACCTTCAATTTTACATCAATCTCGGTCACATTGTCATCTTCAAATAGACAGAAATACTTTTCAAATCCATCTTCAAAAATTGTTATCTATTACGTTCCTGTAATCTTGAATCCTGTTGCTCTATTCAAATGCTGTCATCATTGGACAACTTATTCTATCAGCTTTCCTCGCTTTTCTTTCTCCTAACCTCCTGCTTTACACATCTTTCCAGCATCTTTCCAAGAAAATGCAAAATTGTTACCAAACCTAAAGTAGAGAGACTAACTGCATCAGAGCAGCTTAAAAGAAACAACTAAGCAAATCCTTTTTTTGGTATATTTCAAGTTTTATACGTATACATATATACATACTAAATGTGTGTATGAATTGAAAGTGATAAATTTTGCTATTTCTGAGTCTATTTTGACAAAACTTTTTCTAGGTTTCAACTTATACATATATATATATAAATATATATAAATATAAAACAAAGCAAAATACATAACTGTTTCGTTATGATACAAAAGCAGATTCCAGTTGCAAAGAAATGTTAACCACTCATTGTTAACGTTTGTTTGTTTTCGTTCCTCATAAATAGTGTCACAAAAAGTTAACTAAATTCCCAGACTTTCTCCTCTTTTACCTCCTTAACCTGACCTTAAACCCGTGCTCTTTAACCAAAAACTTTTGTATCAAATGTTTAAACCTGAAAGAAGCACCTTAATGAAACTGTTAATTTCCATTATTCTGATATTTAAAAACTCAAACAGTATTCTGTTGATCTGTAATAACTCATCTTTTCCAGTCCAACTTAAGCGCAACCATGTGAAAGTCAACGAAATTGAAACCCACCGAAACACATGAAGAAAGAATGGAACCATCGAACAAGTCGTAAAGTGCTTAAAATCGTTAATACTGTTGAAGGAATAATCAATGGATCCATCTTTATTTATCATTACACTTGAAACTCTTGTTATTAATGTGGTGAATGTTAGTAAAACGCAGTAAACTGTTGATACTGTATCAATGATTGAAAAATCCCGCAAACAAGATTCTCTATTTTATCCTTTACAAAAATTTACGGAGAAAAAATGATTAATCAATTCTGAAATCCTATCCAAATGGTCAACAATCAATCACAAGACTCTGAAGCTGGACAAAAACCCAAGATTATGGTGAAAATTTCCATCAATTATAATCTTTGGCTCGACACTTTTAGCTCGCTTTACTCAATGCATAAGCTTTTGGAATCATTGTCTTCAAGTCTTTTTATTTTTCAATTTACAGAAAATTATTGAAATATCAAGTTCAGCTAATGCGAAGAAACAGATTTAATCAATTGCTGTTTGTCCATTTACCAGCATTTAGTCAATGTTTAATTAAGATTGATTGACATCTCAACGTGATTAGTTTCCCTTGAAAAGAAGATGAAATGTTTAGAAACATTTTTCACTTTGATAATTTATTTCCTTATTAATGATATAAATTGAAATCTCATGTGAATGCCTGTCCTCAAAATGCATGGTAAATATAAAAATAATTTAGCTGCATTTCACTTTAATTGTCATTATTGCTGATTACAATTTACTCTAAATCTTTTACACATTTCAATGTTGATGAAATGTTGATGAGATCAACTTTCAGCTCATATTAATTTAGCAAAAAGTGTTTACGATTTTTTCCCTCTACTTACCTAAATTAGTGGGAAAATTGTTAAATTAAAAGAAGCCCAATTACAGATGAAAAATTAACAAATTAAATTAACGAGTTGTACAATCATCATCAGTAAATATTTCATTACAAGAGGAAAATGTATACCAAAGAATATACAATTGGATAGAAAAAGGAGAAAATTTTTCTTCATTTTTCCAGAAAAAATCAAATTCTATTTTCTCTTCAAAATTTTTTTCGTCAAAATGATTTGCCAATACAACTGTGATTCAAGTGATTATCATGATTTTCATGTTCGATTCTTTTCCAGGATAAATTTGCTGTTCATCTCTAGTCCATTATCACTACCCTTTGATTGATCTTGTTACTCGCTTTGCACTTATTGCTTAAACGTATATCCAAGAGTCTAATGTATTATCGTATTAATAGGCAGCAAAGACAAGGATAAAGTTTTTAATAAAAGCTAAAAGTTTCATTGGCAAAGAGTAAATGATTTTTGTGTTTGTTCCCTTGGATTGTAGATTACATGATCCAAGTCCATTGTCAATGTAAAAGCTGTCCAACTGACCAAACAAGCCATTAACCTTAAAGTCCATGGACTAATTGTAATCCTTTTCCTTAAATTGAGATTAATTGTCACTCTTGGGCTTCACAAATTTTACTTTAATTCTTGGTGTGCAACTAGAAGATGAAAAGGGAAACAAACAAAATGGAAACAAGAAGCAAAGTATTGATGGAAAGATGAAAATAATTTCAATCAGTAACATTGAAACAAGGCAAATGGATAGCAATCGAGAGCAACAACGATCATGTCATTGCTCCAGTCAATCAGACTAGGAAATTAGTCTCTCACTTAGTCTGATCCGAGTCATTGTCCATTGAATGCTGCTGAAATTAAACAAAATAGCCAACAGAAAAAATCGAAAATCGAAAAGGAACAAAAACCAATTGGAACTTGCAAATCTCACATATCATTGATAATCATTTCCACCATTTAATTCCAGTTTCTTTAATTAGCAACCATTAGATGTTATTCAAAACGATTTGATTAATCGATTCGATTTTATTTCAGCATTAAACTGAAAAATTTACAGAAGTGCGAAAAAGTAAATCAATAATTAAAAAGATTTTAGTAAAGAACGAAAATTTTCGACTTTTTAAATCAAAGACCTTTCGTTGCGAAAACCATTTTTTCATTCAAATAATCTTTCCTTGGTAAAGGGAAAAGACTGTGTTCAGACTTGATTCAGTGATGTCAATTTTTCGAGTGGATATTGGATTCTTTTGTATTGAAGTATTGATAAGAATAGCATTACCAGACTGGTCGATTCAGACTTGGTTGACCAAAGACTTTGAAGTTCATCTTCCAATGGAAAGAAGCATAACATGGTTCATCAGTCAGATTACTTGAGTTGTACATTTATATTTTTCCTCCAACTGCAGTCGTCATCATCATCATTGATGAACATTTATGAATGTAGAAGCCACAACACGTAACAGTCATCAAGTTTGCATTTCACCATTCGAATCGTAACCAGTATGTAAAAGTCGTTACAAATGATTACCATATTTTGCATCCATTGCAAAGCTCATGTAAATGATGGTTATTCATAATGAGCGATGGGAAAAGATGTGATATTACATGTTATTGGTCATTTGTCGAGTGAGAATAAATTAAAAGACATAGTCGAAAGGGCTTAATTGAATAGCCATGTTACCCTGAGCAACTTTGTACAATCCATTTTGTTGTTCACTTTTCTCTCATTGATTTGATGAGAATTGACAACTTCACTGATCACTGGAAACTATTCTTGGACTCGTCACTTGCAATGTACAAGTAACATTGTATTGGTAAACTGTCTTTTACTGCATGTTTGTCAATTGTAACTGTTTTGACACAAAAAGGTTTGACAAATGTTTGATGGGAAAAGCCTTTTCCATCATCCAATTTCTCAACACATTTTCCCCGTTGCTTTACCTTGTATTATTATAATTGATTCATGTTTATTCAACTTTCACTGTCTCAGTTTCATGTTAATCATCACCATCATCATATGCATGTTACTCGACCAAACCTGTGATTACATTGATTCTCATTCAATCAGCTTTCGATTCACATTCACCTTGTTATCCGAGTATATTAAACACGCCCTTTTCGTGTCCAAAAGACGTTAAATTTCCCCATGAAACTCACGTAAACATCAAATATAACCATGCAAGATGCATCAATGGATAAACGATTCTCATCAAAATCAGATCACACTTCGAACAAATTTTTCGAAACAACATTCGCGACATTTCAAGGGAACTTGTTGGATGCTGAAAATTCTTGAGTCAGTTGAGATCGGTAGAATCGACTAATAAAGTTCAGTCTTCCAAAAAATCAGTAATCTGATCGAACATTTTTTTCGACTTTTTTCTTTCACAGTCGGACTTTTGATATTTGTTCAATGATCTGAAGTAAAAGGTTTCATTTTTAGTTCGTTTTTGAAACAATCAATTCCAATATACAATTTTGGATGAGATTTACACCGAACGAGAGAAGCATTTACATTGAACCTATTCGAGGAGAGTGCATCATTATGGGTCTAGAAATTGAATTAAAATTAACTGACAGTTTGTTGACCAGTGAAGACTAATTGTTGATTGTAGTAGACTGCTGTTAAGTGTTTAGATGGATGCGAAAAGGCAGTGAGAATGAAAATTTGATTCCATTTAATCTGATATCTACTCATGATATAAAGGAAATACATGTTCTCCTCCCATTTATTGAATGTTGATTTTTCCATAATCAATTATATTGTCAAATTATCTGGATATTAAGACCATTTCCAAGTTGCATTTACTGATTCAACATTTTTACGCATCAATCCAATGGTTCTTCTCCCAGTCCTTCAACAGTCCTTTACTCTTCACCAAATAGCAATGATTACATTGAGAATCAATTTTCTGTCTCCTTTTTCCCTTCAATCAAACTATTTGTTCCTCTTTCATTGAAACTGATAATAACCCGATATTTAGCATCCATTCTCAATTCATCTTTCATAATCTAAAACTCATCCGTCTGTTCAACAGCAATATTGAAACACTATCATTCATGTCAATTTGCTCCAATAAAATAATCACAAAACTCGATTCGAAAAGAATGTACAAAAATTATCAAAAACAATTCAGCAACAAACCAATGACAAGACTAACAAGAGAAAACTTTTCCTATTTCTAGATTTTCTCAAAATTTTGGAGAAAAATTCATGCAACTTTCATTCGAAGTTGAATTTGTTTATTCAACATTGAACAATCTCGCAAGTCGACTGGTTTCACTTTCGATAAAATGATGATTGAAATGGCGAAAAGAGATAAAAGTTGTCTAAATTAAATGTCATTGGTCAGCCCATTTTGATGGACATAAGTTATTGTTTTGCAAATTTTTCAATATAAAAGTGAAAACATGTATACAAAGGAAAAGATGAATGGGAAAAGTGAAAGACATGAAACTGTAAAACAGTGTCACACAATTCAGCTAATGTAGTCAAAACTGAATCTCAGAGTGAATGTCAAAAGCAATTTTCAGTTGAATCAGCAATGACATGTTTTCCGATGCGTTTTACAACCATGTCCATGTATCCATTGAATCCTGGAAAAATCTCATTTTTTCCATGGATATTCATATCTTCTCCAATTTCATTGCTCATCAAATTGACAGTTTCTCAAATGCAAATTCACTCGTCATTTTGATTTGCAACCATTTCTCTTGGCAACCTTTTATTTACCCTCGACTGCCGTCCAATTGAATCAAATGTTTCTCATTTCAAGAAAAACAAATACTCGAAATAAATTCTCAAATGTACAAAGAAGGGCAAAAATGTGATACAATGATAATGATGAAAGGCATGAAAATGGAAAAGAAAAGCTTCGCAAGTAAAAAGAAGCTTCCAAATGATCAATAATCTCGAATAACATGAACTCAAAAGTCAACCTTGCTTCGCCCGGCAGTGAATAAAATTCACTTTTCATGGAAACAGGTAAAGGGGAAAATTGTGAGCAATAACTGTTATCACTCCCAGCATTTCCAATAAACATACTTTTACCATCTTTTTAGACTTGTTTCACTCTTCCCTAGCTACCTTTACATTTCGTTGGGTTGATTGAGCTGAAAATAAGCTTTTCTCACATTACTTTCTTCTCTTAACGATAACCTTCAGGGAATGAGAAACTAACTGTAAACAAAGAATGTTGATTTTCTAAAACTTTACAATATTTCTTTAAAGTTCATTTCTGTTGGCTTTTCCCTTTGACTTTAACTTTTAAAGAATTTTCAAGTTGATCATTGAATTTCAAAATAGATCAACGAATGAACCAAAAAATCACCAAAATATGCATCACTCGCTAATCGCTTTCCGTCTTCTTGAAAATTCCAAGTCAATGGTTGATGTGAAGAAGAAATTAAATGTCATGAAATGTTGAGTGCAGAAGTTGGGATTGATAATTCGTTTCAAAAGAAATCATTTGCATGTTCGACTTTGCATGATTCCGAAAATGGATTGGGAATTGTTTTGCTCAGCTTCCTTTCAATTTGCATTTCAATTGAACAATTTGCTCATTTTATTTCACTTTTGCGTTATTAATATTAATTTTTAGCAAATTAATGCTCAAGAGTATTGTAAGCTTTTTCATACCGACACTGCTCTTACCGATTGTCAAGATTGATTGATTGACAATATTTAATGTTTGATTGAATTTTTTTTGCCTCAAAATTCAAATTATTCAATTTCATTTTACAATTTGCTCAGTAAATGTAAAATTCTGGTAAATCATTAATGGACTGACGTGATGTTGCAATTGTCCTCAACAGTTTATAATCATTATCGTTTTCATCGTAATAATCGTTGTGAAAATTCATGTGAATAGTTGAAGTACACTTGGAAGGGAAAAGAAAAGAGCAAAATATTCTCATAAATAGATACATGTAAATGTAGATAAATGTAGTTTGCGTTGACATTGTAAATGTTTTTTCCTTGCTTTTCTCAATTCTCAGAGTGCAATGCTATTTATCAGATTTTCTGTGCATTTTAATATTTACTTTTATTCAGCAGTTTTTTTTGCATTTTGTCACATCCAACTGAGATTGTTGTAAAAGTGCGTTAAAGTTGTGCAAAAAGAGTGTAATTTGATGAGAAAAAATCAAATTGATTGTACATCTCATTGTGAGTGAACGCAAAAGGCGAATGTGAACAACAATTTTTTGCTTCTTTTATTCATTTTTCACAATGAATTCTTTCAAATTAAGATGAAGACGAGATTTTATTGGAAATTAATGCACATTTAAAATGCTAAAGGAAAAATGAAAAATGTTTCTATTTGTTGTTAATGAGTTTGAGCTTGATGTTAAATGTTTGCATTGAACTTTGAGTTGAAAAGAAACATTTTCTTCCAATTTTAGTGCTTTTAATGGGCAACAATACTGGTAAAAGATGTACAATGAGTGGCAGTAATTGACAAATTGTGAGTTTTGATGGTTAAAAGTTGTACAATGAATATTGACATTCATTTGTGTTGAGGGAAAAGTTTTCTTTGTTTCCTTATAAATGTAACTCTTGATGGTAAAAATAGAAACAAATGTTTTGATTTTGCTTGTCTGTGTTCATGTTTGCTGGCAACTTTGGAGCATCGAAAGAGATACATTTGAACGATAAAAAAGAGTGATGAAAATATATTTAAGACGATTAGTCTTTATGGTTGGTAAATGACGATGAACTTGAGTAAAAAGGAATAATGATGATCAGTTTGAAGCAGGCAAAGGAAAAAAAGATTCAAGTTGAAGGAAGCAAAGACTGAGATAAGAGTGAGAAAAAATAGAGAAAAATTGTGGGCAAAAGAGTTAGGAAAGCTTGTTGATGGAAACTGGACAAATGCAAGCCAATGAATCTTTATTCAGCAAGATAACTTTTCTTAATTATCTTGATTATCATTAGAGAAAGATCTGTGTAAATTGTAAGCGATTAGCTGAAGGAAAGGGCAAATATCCGGATGGTAAATGGAGTCATCAAGATGAACTGGAAAACAAAAACTAATTTGTTGCTAATAACTAATAATAATATCAATAGAAGCAAGAAATATTCTGAAAATGAGATAAGAAGAACAGGAAGAATATCTGAGAAAATTATTTTGGCTAATATCGCAAAATAGGCTTTAAATGCCGATATTTCTTCTGTTTGGGAAGTAACTTCATACAGCATTTCTCGCTGATTTTAGTCGAGTTTTCATCACATTTAGTCAGACCGATAGAAGTCAAGTTCATTGAAGATTTTTGTCATTAACTTTATTCTTTTGCCATAAGATTCGGTGAAGTTGTCAAAACTCTTTCTCTTGTTGGACACACAATTTAGAAGGCAATTTAATTACAAAAAGTATAAATAAATTTATCATTAAAAGTCGAGAATCACGATCGGAGCTGGAATTTCCAGGTTGAAAAGACATTTCTTAACAAATAAAAAATGAATTGAAACTAATTGTGCTTCTCACCTTAAATTGTGTGTCCAACAAGAGAAAGGGTTTTGACTAATCCTCATGAAAACTGTCTGATGCTAATGACAAAAATCGTCATTGACTTCGCTCTCTACCGGTTTGAGTCTGGTGAAAAGTCAACTGAAAACATCGAGAAATGCTGTATTATCTTGATGATCACGTATTTTGATGTTGCGTTTCTCTTGTTCAAATCAGTCATAATTATTGGGTTCACAATGTTCAGGTTTTGACTCGAGTTTTCTTGGTTTAGTTTTAGTATTTATTCATATCAAAAGCATTTACAATAATATTTACAGCAACATTATTTACAGAGTTTAAATTTTTGTCTAAATTCAGTTAACGTAACATTAAATAGTTTAAGTCGGAGTAACAAAAGAGATGAAGGACAGAGGAAGAAGAGAAAATTAAGAAAAAAGTTTGGAAGATTCTTGGTTAGCTTTTCACCATTGGGAGTTTGCTGAAGCAGAAAATATGTCAAACTGCCGTTGAAAACGAAACAATATTGGGTTCTTCAAATGTTTCCGTTGAGAAAATCTGAGTAAAAACGAAAGAGAGAGAGAGAAAACAAATTTATTGAAGAAGAAGAAAATTGTTAATAAAAAAGAGGTTGAATAAAGATGAGCACAGAAATGAGGTACAAAAAGGTTGAAAAAAAGTGAAAGGAAATGTAATCTTCATGGTGAATCAATTTCCATCCAAGTGAATAAAGGCAAAAGGCAGAGACAATAAGATATAGATGGATATAATAGATATTATAGATGAATATTACGTGCAAAAATCATAAAGGCTTACAGATTACAAAAGAAAAGATGAAAAAAAGTTAATATCTCAACTCAGAGTTTGAGTGAAGAATAAGCTGATAAATTGAAAAGTTAGGAAATGTCGAGTAAGTTGTAAAGAATTGAATGAAAATGAAAGACAAACAAATATCTTATCAATGATCAACTGACAATAGTTTGGCATCTTGAATTTCTTACCGATATCTCAGGTGGTTGAGAATTTTGTGGAGTTAAAATCAACTGAGGTTGGTTTGCTCGATTTGAGATTAGGCGAACGTGAGGAACGTTATAAGCACCATTGAGCACGTTTGGATCAACCTTGATTGAAACCTGTCCCGATCGAAGCAAAGTCCCAGACAGAGGCGAATTGATTGGACAACCATCAAGTAATCTGCTGTTGACTAGATTTGAACAGCTTCCAGAGTTTCCTGAAAACATAAAAACAGTGATTAGATTATAATGTTGAATAAACAACGAAATTGAATGCAAAAAGAAAGCAAAGTTATAATATCTAAAGTTAAAACCCAAAAACGAACTTTATTGAAACCATTCTGAATCTTGTTCTTACTGTTCTGAGTGAAGTTCACCAATCATTTTCTAGTCTAGTTAAGACTTAAATAAACTGAAAAAAAGATTGTAAATATTTCCAAAGTTTCATTTCCAGGAATATTATCGCTATTCAAGTTGGTTAGTTGGGAGTAAAAAATGTTGAAATGTTTGCATTCGAAATGAAATTCGATGTAATGAACTGTCAATGATTTGACTAGAACGGCATTTTCTCATCGATATTAGGTTCAGTTTAATCAGTTGCTATTAAACTCATCAACTCATTACACAAATCGATTTTGATATTTATAAATATGCATCGAAATTAGATTTATATCCTCAATAATTGATGAGCAAAAAGGGCAATGATGAAAATTGAAGCTTTTTTTGCTCAAAATTGTTTAGAATGGAAATACTAATGATTGAAGAGATTTCATTATTTTTATTGAAAATGTTGATGTTGCCTTTAAATTGAATGTTGAAATAAAAGGTAATTTGAATTTTGTAAAGATTATCATGATTAGATGGAATCATTAATAAAATAAAATGATAATCTTCACTTTATTATTAAGATGAGACTTTACTGATAATTGAATTTACCTTTACATAATTTCATCAGTAAATGAGAAAAATTACTGAGTTTGCAAGAAGATGAAAAAGTTATTAAAGAACTCAATTTATATTAATTTGCTTATCTGACTTCATTTTTTATTCTGACTTGACTTGATTTTGCTACAGATTTTATCCAAGCCAAAGGTTCGACCATTAAAGGTGAAACAAAAATGCAACGACTAAACTCATAGATTAACTAAAAAGATGTGCCAACAAGCTGAATTGCAATTCTGAGTTACCTTGAAACGAAAAAATTGAGTTTCGAAAAATCTTGAAGAGAAAAAAGGAAATCGGAAAATGCAATTTTAATCTAAATCTAAAGTTCGTCTATTAATTTTGCTCCGTAATTTATGTTGAACTTGCTGACGTGCTGAACTTAAATCTAAACTGAGATGAAGTTGCAGCAAGAGAATTGAATTCTGCAACGAAAAGTCGTACGAAAAGGGAAATTGGAAAATGCAAATTTTTCCAAAATGGATAATTATAATAACTTGTGATGAAGATGTGAGAGTGAATTAACAAAAGGTTGGAAGTAGATTAACAAGAGCGACAATTAGAGCCATTGACGAGATCTAAACTGGACACAAAGGTGCAACATTATCAACCTTGAATTGTTTGGGTTAACGTCTCATGAATAAACATTCAATTTAGGTAATAGTCAAGTGAGTTTCCTTATTGAGCAAACAATATGCAAGATGACATTTTGGGTCAATTGTTATTACTCTTTGATGTTGAAAGTGTGTTACGAGATTTGAACATTCAAAGAGATGTAATGTTTTCTTCGTGTAATCATTCTCATCATTCTCATAATCACCTTTATATATGTAAATAAGTTTCCCTTTGGTTGAGTTGGTCCCATTATTTTCCCAAAATTGGTAACATAATAATGATGGTTTTGGCAAGACTAATAACATGAGATAACCGTAAAAAAAGAAAGAAGAAGAAGAAGAAAAAAGAAGAAGAGAAACAAATTCTAACCTTGCTGATCAGAAGTAAATTAGCATTTAATTTATTATCAGAAATGCATTAATTTGTTCATGACTGTTAAACTTTCAAAGGCAGTCTAACATGCTGATCCGTTTATAACGTTACAGTAAATCCATGCTAGATTGAGTCCAAGCTTAATGTATTCACCTTCCCAGGCACATAGCTGCTTACTAAAGGCTGCCAAACGACAATGCTAACAATGATGTTACAACTTGTTGAAGGTGAACCTCGAATTAGGTTTCATTTAGAAGTTTAACAAATCAAAGGCTGAGTAATTGATGGTAATCATTGAAAAATGAGAAAATTCAAGTTCGAAATAAACTAATAGACAGGCTAAAAGTGATGCAGTCCTAAATAATCCAAGAACAGAATAGAAAACAGATCAAAATAAACTTTCGAAACCCAAATGGCTTTAGAATGGCTCATTAATAACAAGATTTTATTATAATATTCTCTTTTTTCTGGACACGACAATCAGCTCACAATGTCTGGCTAACTTGCATCAAATGAATCGACAGCAAAAGCTACTTGGTAAAGACTCCAACTAATGTATCTTGATTGGCTGACTTGACTTGTTCGTGATTTAATGAGCAATCGTTTGGCTCAAAATTGACAGAAACGGATGCTTTGGAAAAAGTAAATTAACCGATAAATAGTTGATTTGCAGTTTCGTAAAAATTTAGTTTAAAAAACATCTTAAAAAGGTCGACGCAAATGCTGTTCGCGTCTTTGGACAAAAGTTTCATTTGATATTCCCTTCCAACTGAATGCTACTTAGCTTAAGATATCATACATTTAATAATCCCTTTGAAAGAATCTATCACTGTCAGGATATTGTTGACGTTACTTCATCATGATCATGATCATCATTCTTTTCCTTCTTCATCTCCATCTTTTTTTCCTCTTCTCATCATTATCATTTTGCCCAGCATTTCATTACTCCCTCTCCCTCTCTCACTTCTCATCCCTTTCGATGTAAAAAAAGTAAATAAAGCAACTAGACTAATACATGTACAACAAGCAAGAGTGACTAACGACAATATATAATATTTGTTGATAACAACCAACAGTATCCGAATATCAAATGCACAAATAACTCAATTCTTTTTTGGATTTTACTTTCAAACTGAATATGATATACTTCATTTTCAGGGGATAAATAGAAATATAACACCGATGAGAAGGGACAAGTGAGAAGAAAGGGAGAGAGAGAGAGAAAGATGGATGAGACAAGGAAAGAATATCATGTAACCTGTTCGAAAGTCGAGCTTAAAAACACTGCAACAAGAAAATTGAAGGAAATGTTAGACATCCAAAGTAAAGGGGACAAAGAATGGTATTAACAACAGGGCATCCTTGCCTGTTCAATGGACCCAACCAAACAATTCAAGTTGTCTTCTTGATAAAGAGAAATGTGTAAGGTTCAAAGGACAGATGAAAAGATATAAAACAGAGACAACATCGTTTCTATTTCCCTTTACTTTTTCATCTTCATCATTCTCTCTCTCATCATCATCATCTTTTTCACTATTATATCCCATATCATTCCTCATTCCTTACAAATTATGGGTCACTTTTACCATCACTTTTCACATTATCATTTCTCTTAATTTCGCCAACAATCTTTACCAGAAGAAAGAAGAAAATTTCACCACAAACTTTACACTAAATTTATCCCATAAAATTCAAAATAACTGTCAATTTCAAGATTAAAATCAAAGTTGTAAAAGCAAACTTATTGTAAAGAGCAATAAATGTTTGCCGTAAATTTTGTTGCCAAGTTGAACCTGGTAAATGGTTTAACCATGATTGAGTTGCAAATTTTTCGCAATTCAGAAAATTCTTTCTACTCAAATTTGAAAAGTAAAAAATATTCAGAAATTGATTGAAGCATTTGATGGAAAATTTCAATCAAATCGTTCATTTGCACATTTATGTTTACCTTTTGACCGCATAACACGATTATAACCAAATGTCTATTCATTTTTACATGAAGCTTTAATCAAAAGATGAAAGGGTAACCCACATCGAAACTATCGAAGCAACAAAATTTTCTTGTGTCGAAACTTTTTTCTTCTTTCAACAGAAAATTTAAAACTTGAACTTTTCCAAAAAATCGAGTCAAATGCATAATTACAGAGCAATAAAGGTAACGAGGAAAGAGATGAAAATGGGAATGAGAACTTTTCTTTACTCTTTTCCTACTCAACTAACTAGTGAATAACATGATATGAGGTTATTATTGTAATCACATTTACACAATTTAATTTGATTAAATCTCGAAAGAAGCAAAAAAGTTGCATGAATAATTTAGAGGTGAAAATAATTTGAATTTAAATGATTTTGGAGGAAAAATTGATTTGCTAATTCAACAGAAAAATGATCAAAATTTACTGTTTTGACTTTTGTCTATTCATGTTTTCAGCTTTGTAATGAACAGCATAAAATGGAGAAAAAATTGCATTCATTAATAATCAAAAGATAATCATCAGAATTGTTTTTGCTTCGAAAGGATAAGTGAAAACAATTGGTCTGAGTTATGATTACTGTTATCACATGGAATTGAATTATCACAATTGAAGATGCATAAGTAGGAGAAGAAAGAAGGAGGAATAAGGATGAGGAAGGAAGGAAGATGGGATGATTGGGAGGGAAAAAAGAGAAGAAAAGAGAAACGAAAAAAAAAATATTCTTGATAAAAGGTAAGGAAGGCAAAGAGAAGAATAAATGTCAAGATATTCATTGTTTTTATTTGGCTTGACAAATGAATTGGGAGGTAATTTTTTATCTCACAATGAATGAGATGTTTCATTCAGAATCAATTCCTTCCCTGTTGTATGATAAATGCACTTCTCAGACTCGTTTTTTTTCTCGTTTCCCTGCCAACCCATTTAGACGGTTTAAACTCTCGTTTCTTTGTTCACTGAATTTCACAAGAATTTGAACAATTGATAAAAGAGCGAAAAGAGTCTGTCAGTCAATGAGACAATCAGTGTTAATTGATTAATTAGTTTCAATTTTCATGGAAAAATAAACATTTGCTTTTGAAGAGAAAAGGGTTTTGAAGATGGAAATGATTTATTCTGCACTTTTTGATTTATCTGGATAATGAACAAGTAATTGGACTGAAAATTTTAAACTTGAAAAACTTTTCTTTTCTGGGTAAAAATATTAAAAAATGGCAATTTCCTGGAAGAAGCTTTAAAGCTTGAGGCTGAAAGGGTTCAACGAATTGTGAACTGGAAAGAAATGATTGACTGAAATCTAGTCTTGATATTGGATT